TGCTGAGGGTGCACTCAATTCCCTCATCTCATTGATAATGATGAAGAGCACCACTCCCAAGACAGGCCCTTGAGGGACACTACTTGTGACCAGCTTCCTTCCAGACACAGAGCCGTTGACCACAACCCTTTGGCTGTGACCAGCCAACCAATTCTTTATCCATTAAACAATCCATTGTTCAAATACACACCTCTCCAATTTAGGGAGAAGGATGTGGTGAGGGACCATGTCAAAGGCTTTGCACAAGTCCAGGTAAATTACATCTGTCACCCTTCCTTTGTCCACCCATGCCATCACTCCATCATAGACGGCCATCATGTCCCATTCCCCCTGAATCTGGCAGCTGGTTATTTCAGGTGCATCACAAGGTCTGGCAACCAAGCCCTTTCCCCAGACTTGCAAGCTCCTCAGCATGGGCCCACGCTGCCTGGAGAGGACCCCTCAGGAAACCAAGTACCGACCCCCTGGGGAATCCAGCCCCAGAGCTGAACAGCTCTGCAAGCCACCGAGAGCCAAACTGCCCCTCTCCCTGTTTTTCTTGTGCTCTCTGGCGAGCACCTAGAGAAAATCTCACCTCTGAGCCTAACGTAGCCCTTTCCTGTTGTCAAAACACCCTTTGTATATGTGAGGCATGGTGTTCTCCTCTGCCAGCGAAACAAAAGTCCTCTTCCTACTAGCTGTGCTCCACACAGCCCCCTCAAATAGGTACCTCTAAAACCACATTGTGTCCCTCACCCAAAGCCCACCTCTCTATATCAGGGGAAGCAAGACACTGGGCCCATCTTTTCTGTCAGGTTTCTCCCCACACAGACAAGTCAAGAGCTACACCCCCAGGGCACACTGCCTGTTTCTTAGGGATTAAATTTCCCCATAAATCTTAGAGCACATGGCTGTTACGCTCCTCACCCCACACCCTTTCCCAGCGTTACATCACATGTATCTGCCCATGCACAGCCCCTAAGGAGCACAGGGCAGAAGTTGCTGGCTGATGCACCCCTGATGCATCCCTGGCCAGAGCTTTGTGGCTGGGCTTGGAGGTGCGTGCTCATCTGCAGGAGACAAAGTCTGCATCAGAGCTGCAATGCCTCCAGGGGTTTTCCGGTGATTTTTTTTTTCTTCCCTCACAGCCAATAAGAGCACCCAGAGAGGCACATCTTCCCTGGCAGGAAGCAGGGTGGGCACTCCTCTTGCTGTCGGGCTCCTCGGCTGAAGTGCTGGAGATGGCACTGAACTTCGGCTGCAGCTTCACCGCGCTCTGCTGTTTAGCTCTCTGGGGCTTCACCAGGACTTCAGATGGTAAGAGCGGAAAATAATTGCTGTTTTCCTTTCCTTCCTGTCCTGTGAGTGCTTTCGAATGCACTGGTAAGTAACAGCCCTTCTTTTGGAGGGGTTCAAGAAACGTGTGGATGTGGTGCTTGGGGACATGGGTTAGTGAGTTAGGTGGTGTTGGGTTGACTGTTGGACTTGATCATCACTGAGGTCTTTTCCAACGTTAATGATTCTGTGATTCTCCGACTGCTGCCCATGCTGGCTCAGCCCTGCAGGGTTCAGCCTGCACCTGAAACTTTGACTGCTCAAAAGACTTTCTCCCCTTGTAGCAAAACATGTTATCTACGGACACCATCTAAGGATTTTAAAGTGAGGTTATAGTTTTAACTTGTCAGTGTTTAAACTCTGCATGACCTTGATTATTAAATCTAAAGACTGTGGGTAACAATTCGACTGCTAAGTACAGATGGGCATTTGAGTGCCGATTAGCTGACTTTAATGAAACATTACGACATATCGCTTCTTTCTTTGCTGAGCAAGGAAACTCTCTTGATTGCCGTTGGCCTTAAATCTTTAGAATGGGAGTTGCAGACAGGAGTGCTTTCTCTCTGAAGGTTTTAGCTCTACTTCAGTGCTGCTTTGGCTGCCATAGAAGAAAGTACTCGTGCACTCAGGGATGGTGCTTGGTTAGCCAGCAGCTTTTTGTTTCCACTGTGGTTTCCTTTGGGGGGTTGCAGAGGCATGCAGGAACTCTGCCGCATCTTAAATGTAAAGATAAAGCATATCCTTTGCTCCCAGTAACGGGGAGGAGGTTTTGAAAGCACTCTATGAAAAAAAAAAAAAAAAAAAAAATAAAGTTGCAACCTGGCCATTTGCTTCATTGCAGGCTGGGAGAGAGCATCCAGAGGATTGCGCTCTCACGCTGCAGGAACAGGGCCCCCAAATTATTCCTCAATGAGGAAGGCACGAGAGAGGGCATCTTAATACGACATTCGACTCATCTCTGCAAGAGCAGCCCTCTCTTGCTTAATAACGGGCAGTTAACAGACCTCAAGGTCCACGCTAGGCAAGAAGCTGTCAGGAAAGGTTGCAGTGAAGAAAAGAACTACAGATGCCTCACGCCAGAGAGTATCTGGGTTTTGGAAATACAGGGATGGAAACTGTTCCAAACAGCAGAAGAGATTTCAGACCAGTGTGTGCTCCATGCAGTGACCACCTTCAACGAGAATCAAAGCACATCAAGATAAACAAACACCTCTGGGTGACCAGAGGAAAACAGGGGTGTAAAGATCTCCCACAAGGACTCGGTAGATTTTATACATGCTTTGCTTGCCTGTGTGTCATTCTCAACACCAAGTTGCAATGGGTGAGGGAGGTGAAATGCCTGGTACCCCTTGGTGGCAGCTAGGGCAAAAATATACTAGCCTACCATCTGCCTACGACACATCCAGCTTGCAAGACTGTGAGCCCACCTCTCCAGATGTTGCATTTCGGAGGCCTTGCTTTGAGTAACATACTTCGTAGTTTTCTTCCCATACACCCCGTGTGACTTCAGCCAGCCTTGCTCATCCTGCCACTCCACGCCCAAAAAACACGTCACCACGGCTAGAGAGGTGTCAAGGGCTATTAAGTTGCCAAGTGACCTTGTTCTAAAATTGAAAGAGACTGTGGTTATCCCCTTCTACTACAAGGGACAGTATCAGCTGTCAACACCCCTACTACTGCCACGTCTGACTTGTCAACAGGCATAAGAGCAGAGATTCAGGCAAGGTCCTGGAGAGCAGCAAGAAGAGCCCAAGCCAGTGACCTGCTCTCAGCCTGGCAGTCTGTCTCCATTGCTAGGTCAGCTCAGGAAAAAGCTGTTTCCTAGAAGCTGCTGAGTTGGTGTTGATGCCACAGGGGGAAAGCGCTGCACCCCTGAGGAAGAGGACCGAACCAAGGCCCCAAGCATCCTTTCTGACTTCAGGCAGGTTTTGTGCAGCTCTCTTGAATCACCTGTGGGTCCCACCACCCAAACCCCCAGGCAGAGTCCCTGTTCAGGACGAGAGGACAAACAGATGCTCTGGAAAGTCTTAGCCATGAGCTGAGCACTAGAGAGGATGTGCTGCCTGAGAAATACCTTTGATCCCAGGCTGTGTGGTCATGAGTTTGTGACTCTTGAGTCCCACCCTTGCTGCAGTGGGAAAATATCACCCCATAGAGAAGTGGGTTCTGGGCTGTTAGGTGAGAAAAAACCACTGTGGGGTTGCCCAGCACTGGCTGCACACCAAGTCCCAACACAGATCAGAGAGAGGGGACAGGAAAGCTTGTCACCTCCACACCAGACACAAAGCCGCTTGCAGAACATCTGCTCCTCTCAGACACACAGCCTGAGTCTCTCAGCTCCCGCCTGCAAGAAAATACGGGGATCATTAAGGTAGCTGGGGTATCAGCCAGGGAGAGATGTGAATTCAGACATCCTTGGGTGGAGGAGGGATGTGGAACGGAGTCTTTCCTTTGCAGGTCAACACTTTAATCCCTGAGCAGTGTTACAAGGAGGTGCAGCCATTATCACCTGCAGGGGAGGATGCGATAGTGCAACTAGAACGTAGGTCAGCAGCCTGAAAGCTGAATTTTTGCAGCCTCCTGTGTCAATGATGGCACGTAATGCTGGGGTTTGAGGTTTTTCTTAACAGGTTCTGGGTTTTGCTCAGGTTTCTCAGTACAAACAGGCTGAAAGACACAGTCTATGCTCTGGGCTTGGCTGTTAATGAGAGATCTATCTGTGGAAAAAAAAAAAAGCTGGAGGTGATAAAAAGCTTGACTTTCACAGCAAATTTAGTACAAGCTCTGTGCACACATTTGTGTGTACATCCACGTGTGTGTGCACATGCAGGCTCGCTGCCTACGCACACGTAGCGTGAACTCCAAGGGCCACCTCCCGCACTCTCAGGTCTTGGCGTCAGCAGCAGCTGTCACGGCAGCTTGCACAGGTCTTCTTCCTCCTGTTTGTACTTCAGAAGGAGATAACAACATCAACAGTAAGCTTTGAGCTTCTTTTAAATTATTGAAAAAAAACAAGCCAGGAGTGGGGAAATCAGCTACACAACCAAGTAACAATAGATAGTAATGAGGGCTGTGTAGAAAGAACTACTCAGACTTGGGAGGCTGGAGGAGCTTCCATCTCTTATTTCCTACACACCTTGCTCCTCCACTTCATGGCTGTGATAATAATATGGTCCTTGGCATCTGGGTCAGGTGCATTTCAGCACCCAAAGCAGCCCGTTCTCCAGGACAGTGGGGAGCTAGTCCAAGCTCTGCCCCAGGCCCTTCCCTGTCCAGCCGGAGAACAGGGACACCCTCTCCTTTGTCAGCATGTAGAGGGAGGGGATCTTCCACCCATCTTTATTACCACCTGAATCCCCCTAGAATAAAAACCTCAAGATGCCATCAAGGGATTAAGGCAGAGTGGTAAAAGTTGGCATGCCAACTTAGACCAGCAGGGCTTTGACAGCCAGTGTTTGACGTGTTATCAAAATCATGCTGTACTCTGAAGCAACGTGATCTAGCTTTATAACTAGATTCAAGTTGGGCCTTCTGTGAGCCAGATGTTCTAAATTATATGAATGATACCTTGGCTGCTTCTAACTCAGTTTGAGCTCTGCTGCCACTTCCAGCAGCATCTTTTTCTGTCACTTCATTCCACAGGATTGTTTCACCATTTCAAACCACAAAGAGAAATTACTTTGTAATGGATGTGAACAGAGTCCTTCTGAAGCACAAGCACATGGGACAAGAAGGGTTAGCATGGTTTCAGAGGGCTGAAGCTCCTCCCACCGTTTTCAGGCACCTGATGTGTTTTGCACTTATGTTTTGTGTTGTTTCAGCTACATATGTACCACCACCTCATTCGACCGTGAAACCTGGATTCCCTGTTCCGATGAACACCAACAATCCCGGTGTTCGCAAGGCAGCCCGCTCTGGCGTTTACAGATACAACAACAGCTCCAATGACCTCTTCCTGTTTAAGGAATCACAAATAAACAAAGCCATGGTACAGGTAAGAAGAGCCCAGACTTCTGGTGGTCCTCCAAACCGTTTACCAACTGACCCTCCTACGGAGCACCAAAGACACCGGAGCTCTGATCCTCCTCAGGACTGCTGTGCACGTCTACAGACAAACAGCATGTGTCCCTCTGTCCCATTCAACTGCTCCAGGGGAGGGCTCCCCACCCCGCCCTAGTAATTCAACACACAACACTTGTATCTGCAACACCACACACTTGATACCTAGCCACAATTTTGGCATCCCTTTCCTCTGCCCTTAAAGGAGGAAACAATTTTCTCTAGGTCGTCAGAGGGCTGAAATACATGCTTCACGTGGAAATTGGACGCACTGTGTGTGAGAAGAGGGAGCACTCCCACCTGGACAGCTGTCGCTTCCAGAGGAAAAAAAACTTGCAACAGGTATATGTCCAATTTCTTTGTGTTACCTAGTAACTGCAGGTGATTCCCGGGCATCTCTAGCTGCATAACCACCTTCAGACCAGCTCTGCCACGTCCCCACAGATGTGCAAGTCTCCTCTGTGCAGAGCACCCTGGGATGAGGCAAGGTTATGAGTAGAAGCAAATTAGTACCTCTCATGCATCCAGTGCCAGCTCCCATCTAGAACCAGACACAGCCATCTAGCCCATGTTCCTGGATAAATGAGTGAGACTGTGCAGAAACAGAGTAGGTGCTAAATAGAGAGACTTCCTGGGCAGGGGGAATCCTTACAGGGGCTTTTCCACCAAGATAAGATTACTCGGCAAGCAGTACTTTCCCCAGGAAAAAGGGGGCAGACAAAAAGATGTTGTTCTCTCCTGCCCCATCACGGCCCACAATGCTGAGAAGAACCAGCAGCCACCTGAACGCCATCACCATTGCCCCTTTTATTTGCAGATGCTGAGATGCTATTTTGAGGTCTGGACAACGCCTTGGTTACATAAATCGGATGTCCTCATTGCTCTCTGTCACTGACTCACCTTCCCTCATCAGAGCCTGACTTACAGGATATCTACCACCGTGAGTTTTTCCCTTGCCTAGACTGCTGAGGCCAAAACTAAGTGGAGAAATGCTGTACAGAATCACAACAGAGTTTTTCTCTCAAAGCACATGGTTGTTCTTCTCCCTGAGAAAGATGCTCAAAATCTGAGTGACAAAGAAAAGACCTGCCTTGACTGAATTTATTCCTACACAGTTTTTCCAAAACCAAGCTGCAGACGAGACCGTGTTGTCATTCATTCAGTAAAGAGCTATCCATCCCCCTGAAATTTCCAAGCGGTGTGAACACACCCAGGAAACTCTGCCGGACTTGCTTTATTCTGTGATGAATCCTCACACAGCTATGATGTAAACAAGCCTAAAACCACAGCACGTGTGACTACAACCAACACGGGGGGAAAGCTTTACAATAATGGGGTATTTTTCCTGGAGATACACACACACACAAAATGAACCTCTTAAGGGTCTCCAGTGCTAGAGCAAAGGTTAGACATCTCTGTCAGGAATGCAGGAGGTAGAGCTCTTCTTTTTTCAAGACAAGCGTATGGATAAGTCTGTCTTGAAACACTCTCACAGCCCAGAAAACACACAGTCTACCTAGTGCTTCTACTTTAATCAAAAACTAATCTACACTATGAAAGGGCATCATTGCAAATGCCAAGATGAATAAACCCAATCATATTCCCAAAAACATCTTTTTGATGAGGTTAAACAATGCAGTTTCATTCAGGAACATAGAAGGCTTTCAATCTCTGGCTGACCACAGATTATACTCAAGTTTAGTAGAATGACGGTGTTCCCTAGGTTGGCACCTACCATTCCTCCAGCGTTCTCTCTTCAAGCGTGGGCAGATAATTGCTTACACTTTGTAACAGCCATTCAGTCAAGAAAGTCCAGCAAAGGGCTCCAGGCCAAGGTCCAGGATCTTTAGACATACAGATCTAGCGACAGCATAGCTGAGGTCTGTGCTCCAGTAATCCCAAAGCAAACCTTTGCACCTGGGCAAGTCTCGAGTTCTGCTTCATTAACATCACTTGTGATGAGCAGGTAGCACAGCAGCAGCTCTCCTCTGATGGAGAGGCATTGTGCTGCATCTTATCCTTGGGGGCAGCAGTTTCTTAGCTGGAAAAAGAAAGAAGTGCTCAAAGGAAACCTCCAGAAGGGCCATAGTGGATGTAGTGTGGTGCTACATTCATCCATCACACAAGCCACCACTGACAGCCTGACGCCAAAGACAAGGAGAAAGAAAGCCAACGATGGTGGCTCGAGCTGTCCACAAGGCAGGACCACTTCACTGAGTGCTTCACACAGTGCCAAGGGCTTTCAACCAGGCTGTCAGCTCCAGACAGATCCACATTTCTTCTTTCAGCCAGCAGGACAGCCTGGTGCTCAGTAACAGATGTCATCAGCCTTGCCACATGCCACAGTGGGGGCAAGAAGGCAGCACACAATCAGCTTGGGTCTGTGCAGAGCTTCAGGCAGGCAGTAAGCACACCACAGAACCATCTCCCATGTGTGACCCCTTCAAGTCTCTGGCATATAGGGCTTCATCTCAGTCTCCTCACCCAGTCAATTCCCCATTTGTCAAAGAAACAAAAGTTAAAGCCAGGTGAACCTGGCATCATGTAGGCTGACAAACCAAACATCCTCTTGCTGTTATCTCAAGGAAAATGCAGCGAGATTGTTTGGATGTCTCTATCCATAAAACTGTTGGCCAGCATTTACTGCATCACAGATGAGCTCATTTTGCAACCACCACAGTGGGAACACCTTCTGAGAAAGAGAGATTAGCCTTATGTTGGAGCAAAGCGTTTACTGTAATGTTACAATAAGAAAGGCACACTGGAATAGCAGCATCCATCATCCACCCCAGGTAACAGAGTTAGGAGCACCAAAGAAAGGATCAGAGCTAAAGTCAGATGAGCAATTTGTACCACTCCAGAGAACTTCATTCAGGAAGGATTTGGGCAATTAAAGAGTCTTGCATCAGGAGGACACTGCTAGCACTGACCTAAAGAACTGCAGCTAAGTACCGTTTAATCACAATGACATGCAGCAGTCAAAAAGCCAATGTCTCTGCTCTCTGCGTTTTTGCTAGAATTTACAACAAGGTTAACTGTTCACCAATTCACTCCAGGGAATTCATACCCTTGCAGAGCTTGCTGAGGCTCTGATGTCTATTCCAGGCTACAAAGGCAATGAAATAAAAATAAATACTTCTAGTAAAGATTTAGGGCATAAGCAGAGAAGGGAAAGTTGTTCCTGACAGCCCCAGATGCTGGAGAAAAAGCAACAATCCCAGCAGTGACACAAAGAGCTCCTGGGACAACCAAAGCTGGTGCTTCAGAGGTATGGGTTCACGCAGGAGTGCTACAAACAAGCTGGAGGAGCTGCTCCCTTCAGCTTCAGATCTCTCTCCAGTATGCTGGAAGCACTGGGCTTGGTGCATGATGCGCTTTCTTGGCTCATCTGCTTATGAGGACACTTGGCCTCATCTGAACAAGAGTTCCCCAACAGCCTACCACGCAGAGGGACTGGCTGCACACTGAGGAGACCTCCCTGCACACAGTGCTACACAAACCAAGCTAGCTCTCCAGAGCTTTGCAGTGCCCAGCGATCCTCAGATGGAGATCTGCATTTGCTCAACAGCTTTGCTGTGCAAATATTTCCTCTCACACTCCTGCTTTTTAAATTGCATAGGAAACAAACTGCCTGCCACCAAAATATAAAGCATTGCCCACTGACAGGCTTCCTACTTTGTATTCTCTTCACATCAGCAGCTCCACATGAAGGACCAGAAGGCCCTTCTATACCAGCTGTACCTGATTTCACAACCTGCCTGACTTCCAGGACCTGCTAACAGCTGCGGGAGTCATGTATGCAGCCGCACAGAACCAAGACAAGGTTTCACTGGCAGCAGCTAGATAAGGAGACTTCTGCTGGCTGGGGGGAAAAAAAAAAAAAAAAAAAAAAAAAAACACACCACAACCCACTTGTATATGCCTATCTACAATTGCTTACTGCTAAATTTTTGAGTCCCTGCCTCAGAGCAGTCAAATGAGCTGCGCCACAGCTCATTTCTGTTCTTTTACAGCACTCTGTCTTCTAAGCAAGCTGGATGAGCAGGTCCAAGTATCAGCATCATGAGATCTCTGTTGTGATCACCGAGCAGACAGATCCAGAAGCTTAGGATGTGGTTATGTCATCTGCAAAGGTTACTGCCATGAAGCAGACTCAGATTTAAAGGAATTACTGAGATATCAGCCTTTGCATAAAAGTGTCAGGGGCATACATAAGTTATCTTCCAGCAGCTCTACTACAGAAGAAGTTTGCTCCCGAAAAGGGACCAGGCAGTGAACTGTGGAATAGCATTTTAAATAGCTTCAGCAAAATCTTCTTGATACTTACGCCCTGCAGAAATAACTGTTCCACCAACAAGGCAAAACACACCCTTAAAATGCACAGCCGTGGTGTATTCCAGCTCAGTTTTTTCCTTAGGCTGTTTCACTGCAGGGCTTTACACTGAAGCAAAGATTACCAAAACCTTCAGGAGGCCAAGTGCTGTTCTCCAATTTCACACCCCACAGTCTGTCCCAAAAGCTTAGGTAAGACACAGAAGCAGCCTCAGGCTCTTCTGGGAGTTGTGCAGAGAGGGTTTCCTCCCTTCTTAGGGAGCCACAGCCCCTTTCTCCTGCCATCAAAAGACAACCTTGACCTGACAAGATCTTCGGACACTGCTGTAAATGCTCCTGCTTCTTCAGTAGAAGGGGATGTGTCCACACTAGAGAAGAGCCAGCCTCAGAACTGCTAAGGTATCATGTTCCTGCACTGATATGATCAAGTGAGAAGACAGAGCTGTTTTTTTTCCAAGCCTGACTTGTTCCAGCTTTCCCCACTGCTCAAGGCAGGTATGTCACCATCCATCTGAAACTGTAACACACCATTGACTTACACTTCTGTGGAACCACAACGAGCTCACAAAAGCAGTCTTCACAGGAGCACCCAGAGGAGTTTACGCCAGTTTGTTCATTCCATGGGCACTTTAATGCTGATGCATTCCTCTGGGAGGACTGCGTTTGAGGAACCATCAGGGATTAAAAGCACCTGAGCTCCTATGAAAATACTGTTCTTAAGCACCCCTCATGCTTAGTAACGCAAAAGCTGTGTGTCAGTCAACCTGTTTCATCTAGATTCTACAGAAGACCACCCCACTTTTGCATAGAAAGGATAGACTATCGGGATACAGCACAGCACCAGGAATGGGAGCCAACACCATCTGAGCTCAGGAAAAGCACTTATTTCAGCCTCCGCAGACTTTGGGTCTCTTGGACTGGAGGTATGCAGGCCTTGCAGTCAGATACACATCATAAGATCCTTAAACAATGACACCTCTATCTGCTACTGCAGTTCCACCCTGGTCCCCCACCAATGTCACAGACATCATGACAGTAATTGGTGTGGTTTCAATTTTAGTGACCCTGGGGCATCAGCAGTCTTGGGCCAGACATCTCTCTCACCAGGAAGCGGTCAAGCATACTGACTTTCTCCTAGACCTTGGTGCCTCATATGCCAACATCCCACTCAGCTTCAGGCTGAGCTCTAACTTGCAGGGCCCAGCACAGCACTGGAAAACCTTGCAGCCAAGTTTCAGGTCACTGTTAAAACACAGGAGACAGCCAGATCACCTCCCTCTGAGGAAAAAGCTAACCCACATTTATGCCCATAAAGCACCAGCTAAAAGGAAGTGTTAAGGTTCTTACAACAGGTCTGGTTAAGCAGCCTGTCACCATGCGAAGTCTGGTGGCCAGAATGATACTAAGTTATGTCACCTACTACAGTTTATATTTGGTGCTTTACAGACTTACAGTGGTGTTTTTGTTTTTTTTTTTTTTGAGGGAAGTGCTGCCTGACTGGACCTGCACCCAGTGAACTCTCTCTTTGTAGAGGCTGGACAAATAGGCTTTAGGCATTCTGAG